TTAGAAGCAAAGAGAATTGCAGAGACCTTGGCCCTAACACCTTTGTGTTATCTCACCGCGGCCTCCGCCCCCAAATTCTTATTTCTGACCTTCTTTTTATAAGAGATTAAATAAGTTCCTATTTTGCCTAATCAATGTTATTTAGGTTTTATATTAAATGCAGCCAAAGCCAGTCCTTCACTGTGGGAAACTTGCCAATGGATACATGTCTAGAGGAGAGAACTTGCTACTGGGAGCAAAACCATTGAAGAATTTTTTTTTTTTCTGGAAATCATGTAGTCATTTTCAAAAACTGACTACTCCATTAATTGTTCTGTGGGTATGAATTTACCCAAGATATTTGGCTTGGAGACAGAAATTGTATTCTCAGCATGGCACTACAAATATTCAGCAAGAAGACTATTGGTAACTTTGGTGAATGCCTACAAGAGGCCAGGTACCATACCCAGTACTTTATAGACACCAGCATACTTGCTGTGTGACTTTGAGCAAGTCACTTATTATGTTGGTGCCTCTGTTTCTGCATCTATAAAGTAGAGAATACAGTGTGTATAACATAGTGTTTTTTTTAATCAGTGTATAGTAATTATACAGAAGAGTGGGTTTCACTGGGGCATATCTGTACATGCATGTGACATACTTTGATCATATCCGTGCCCTCCCAATTACTCTCCCTTTGTCTCCCTCCCCTTCCTCAGTCCTCCCCTCTTCTCAATCCCTCATAGGATTGTCTTGCAGGCTGGCATTCCGGCCACGTTTCCCTACTTCGTTTGCTCTCAAGCCCTCCCAGAAGACAACTGCTCCAAGGTGCCCTTTCTCTGCGGCTTCCAACATCTCTTCACCCTCTGCAGTTCTCTGGAAGCAGGTCCTTGGATATTTCTTCCAGACAGGAGAGCAGTGAGAAGAGACCACCCTGGGGCCCTGCCTCTGTGGCCTGTGGCCTGCGTGCCCCTGGGCCCCACACCCAGCCTTCCTGCCAGGCACTCACTTCTCCTGGCAATGCTGCAGTGGCCCCTGGATCTGTCATGAAGACATGAAGTAGCCTGGACTTTGCACTGGCTCTGTCCTTTGCTTGAGCAGTCAGAAAACTATCCCTCAGATAGTGTGCCAGGCCTCCTTTACTGTGTGCAGAACCTCCTGCCAGGGGGTTTCCCTGTCCCAGTAGAGATAGCCACCATCTCCCAACCCTGGCCTTGCTCCAGATCTCTCTTACCTTGCTTTTTCTATCCCCTGTACCACCACCTAACATATTTGTAATTATTATGTCTCCCTTGAGGAGGGTGGGGATTTTCATCTGTTTTGTTTGCCATCATGTCCCCCAAGACTAACAAGGCGTGATTGATTGATTGATTCATTCGCTCATTTATCTGGCAGGTGTTTAATGAGATTCTGTTAGATGCAGGCAGTTTCAGGCGCTGAGGCTATAGCAGTGAACACAACAGGCTAAGAATTTAGCTTTTTAGGTAAGCAGTTAGGCCATGCTAGAGTTTTGACTTGGAGTGTCGCCCCAAAGACCTCAATGACTTGGTCCTCAGCCTGGCCCTAACGGGAGGTGGAAGAAACTTTAAGAAATGGGGCCTAGTGGGAGGTTTTAGGTCATTGGGGGCGTGCTCTCAAGGGGATCCTGGGATGTTAGAGTCTTTTTCTCTCTCTCTCCTCCCCTCCCCTCCCTGGCTTCCTCACTTCCAGCCATCATGGGGTGAGCAGTCTCCTCCACCACAGACTTCCTGCCATGACCTGCTGCCTCCAACAGGTCCACAAACAATAGGGCCAATGGATCATGGACTGAAACCTCTGAATCCATGAGCCAAAATGAACCTTTTCTCTTTATAAGCTGATTGTCTTAGGTATTTGTTACAGTAATGGAAAGCTAATCAATACAGGTACTGCTACAAGAAACATATGTAGCCAAATAGGGAGAGAGGATAAAAAGTGTATGTGTAGGAGAAACTGTAGATGGTGGCCTGTTGACATGCAGATGAAAGTCATGGGGGAGGGACAGAGGAGCCATGTGGACCTCCTTCCAGGGAGGGAACAGCTAGTACATGAGAACTGAGGTGAGAGTGTGCCCGGAATGCCACAAGAGTGAGGAGGCCAGGGTGACTTGAGAAAGGGAGCAAGAGGGAAAGTAGAAGATGAGGTTGGAGTGGTAAAGGAGGTTGGGAAGGAAGATCATGTAAGTTCTCTACACACTGGGAGAACTTTTATTCTGAGTGAAATGGGGAGCCAAAGAAGGATTTTTAAATATTTTAATGCAATGATATTAATATATAGTCTATATTCATGTTCTTATAACTGTCTCATTAATGTCATTTTTAAAAGAGTATCTAAATTTTTATTACCATTTAAAGAAATAAAATGCACAAGGGGTGAAATCAAATTTCATAGTGTGTGTAATATTAATAATTATCATTTGAGGCTTGTAGGACTGCATTAAGAAAGACCATGTAGAGGTTCAGAAAAATTAGCAGCTTTATAATGCCATTGTATAGCTTTTTTTTTTTTTTTCTCGTCAGGGTCCAATCAAGGATCATATACTGCATTTAGTTATATCTTCCTTTTTTTCCTTTAACAGCTTTGTTGAGATAAAATTCACATGCCATATAATGCACTCATTTAAGGTATAAAATTCAATGGCTTGCAGTGTATCCACAAAGTTGTGTAACTATTACTGGAAAATGATGTTTCAGGGAGGGAACAACTAGTACACCTTTGGCTACCCCCAGGTGCTTCAATCCCCCAATTAATTTCTATTTCTATAGATTTGTCTCCTCTGGACATTTCATACAAATGACACAAACAAAATGTGTTCTTTTATGTCTACCTTCTTTCACTTGCATAATGTCTAAAGGGTCATCCAAGTAGCACACATGTCAGTACTTTGGTCCTTTTTATGACTGAATAATGTTCCCTTGTCTGGATATACCTCATTTTATTTATCAAAGGAGGGTTCTGAACAAGAGAGTGACCTGATCTCAGTGGCATTTTACAAGGCTAAAATTGTAGCTTTTGCTCTGAGAAGCAGAAATGAGCAACTCTGATAAATGTTGCTTTTAGGAAAATACAAATGAGATCCAAGAATTGACCAGTAAATGCTCAAAGAGTTTAACAAAGAAAGGATTTAATTAGCAGAAATTCTGATATATAACCTATAAATGACATTTTATGGGTTTTATGGGATTTGTTGTATTTCCTTTTAATAATTAAATATAAAATATTTAATAATAAGCAAGAATTTTAAATGGGATGCTTGATGCATAAAGATACAGGAATAATCAGAGTACCATTCATTTAACCATGGTTTTTGAAATTAACGTTGCTGGCAACAATTCTTTGGTTCATGCGAAATTTACTCCTCAGAATAATTCTTCTTTAAACATAACTCACCATTATAGTAATTATTCAGGATTCTATTTCAGCTTTCAAAGACTGGCGAAGAAAAAAGTTGATCCTTGGAAAAACATGTTTTCAATGTCTATGCAAATCAGGTATATATAAGTTAAGTTTGTTTTTGTTTTGAGGGCGTTTGGGTTATCTAAAAGATTCTAAAAAACTGGACCAAATCCCTGGAATATAAAGAGGTATCTCCTTGTGGCTTCTGTCACTATTTGGAGCAACAGGGTCCTACTCAAATCATTGGATCCTGAGTTGGAAATGCATCTATGGACTCAGGGTTTGCAACAGTTTTTATCCAATTCTGGACACAAGCACCTTTTGGGGCTGCAAATCTTTGTGGAGTGAATGAGCGGCGATGAAAACTAGACAGGAAAAGGTGAGTGAAAAAAATGTGCTCCGCGTTCTAACGACGAACCCGTGCGCGCGGTGGACTTGTTAAAGAACGTGTCAGAAAAGAAACCCACAGCACATCGAGCCGGACTCGCTCCTAGTGCACCCAGCCTGCCCCACCGGGACTAGCGGCAGGGCTGCGAAAGCCGGAAAGCCGGTGTGCTTTTCCTCTTGCCTGGAACGGTCTGGGCGTGGGGCTGGGGACTGGGGGCGGTGGCTCGCGCCGCTCCCCTGCGCTGTCCGCCGGCCGGGGCTGCGCTGCGCCGCGCTCGCGCCAGCTGGGCCCGGAATTTGGAGAGGATCCCTGGTCGCGCGGCGGCAGCGGCGGCGGCGCGCGCGAGTGCGCGTGTGAACGAGCGGGCGGGCGGGAGAGCGAGCGAGTGCGCCGGGTATTGGCAGCCGAGGAGTGGAGGCTGGGCGGCCGCGACTCCCTGACGCCAGCGCGACCAGATCAATCCAGGCTCCGGGGGCGAGCGGGCGGAGGACGGAGAGGCCGAGCGGCTGAGCCCGGGCCGAGGCGCGGGGTGGGACCCTGCGAGCGCAGCGCGGCGCCGCGCCCGGCCGGCCGCACTGGGGCCGCGGGACCCCGCTCGCCCGGCCACTCGTGCGTCCGCGCGGATGGGCGCGCCGCCAAGCCGGTAAAGCGAAACAGACCCGAACCCAACTTTCCCTGCGCGCGTCCCCGCCCTCCGCTCGGCGGCCCGGGCTGCCCAGCGCCGCGGTCCCCGCCGGGGCGGGCGCGGGCTGCGCTTCCCCGCGTGGGGCCGCGGACCCCCCCCCCCCATGATGGCGCCTCGCGGCCGCTCCGGGTGCGAACCTGCCCGCTCGCCCTCCCCTCGTGCCCCGCGGGCCGGGCTCCCCGCGCCGCTTTGTTGGGTGTGCGGCGGGGAGTCTCGCCCCCGGCCTGCCCGCGGCGGGACCTCCCGGCCGCCCTCCCTCTCCCGGTTTCTCTTTCCGTTTCTGCAGCCGGGCCGAGGCCCGTGCGCGCGGCCCGCGGGCCCATTGTGTCCCGCTCCGGCCGGGCGACCCTCGCCGTGCTCGGAGGACCGCCGCAGGCGCTGCCCTTTCCGAGCCCGGGCCGAGCGGGGCTCCCGGGAGGGGGACTCCGGGCCCCCGGGCATCCCGCGCGGGTTCCTTTCCGTGCCCCACCGGCCGCCCTGGGGTCGAGGTCAGGGAAAGTTCGCACCGAAATTCCCTTTTGATTTATTCAAAGGTTTGGCGGCGGCGCGCAGTTTCCCCCTCTTCCGCCTACACCCCCTGCGCCTCCGAGTGTCGTCTCATTCCTTTCCCTTTACCGGATTCGATTGCCTCACTGCGTGTGTGTGCACGAGTTCGCCAGGAACAACTGTGCCTCCCCTCTGCGCCTGTCTTTGTTAGGGTTTCTCGGGTGGTTTCTGGAGGAAGGTGGGGGCGGTGGGAGTGAGAGCGACGACGTGGGCTTGTTTGCTAGTTGCTCAGTGTTTGTGCGGGCTGCGAGGGAGAAGGTTTCCTGGATGTGCTTTGGGGAGGCAGCAGGAACAGATGCCGGCCGGATCTCACAACTACCGTAGCTGAGGCTTTTGTTTATTTTGAGGCATATGCAATTAAAAAAAAAAAATACTCGGTGCGAGATAACTAGTGAGGCGCTTTGAGAATCCAGGCGGGTCTGAGAACCATCGCCCGCGGAGGAAGCATCGTTTTCGTGAGTACTGACAGCCTGCCTTTTCTCTCTTCTTGGCTTTGCACCCCACTCCCCGCCCCAAAGTATGGACTGATAGAAAAGTTGGAAGATTTCTGTTCTGTCTTCATGTTGCGGAAGCTCTCAGCGGCTAGATCACAGAATGCCCTTATTTCAGAACGAACATCTTTTGCGCTCAATGCCAGTCGTGGATAACGTACCCACACCTCAGGAACACCAGGAGAAAACTGTTCCTGGCCCAGGTTAATATTACATGTTGTTTGTAACTACCACTTAACGTTGTATGGGAGGCAGGTGAGCTGTATTGGAAAGACTGTTTAAAAAAAAAAAAAAATTCCAGGCAGATCCTGTGTTCACTGCCCCAGCATTTTCAATTGGTGTAAATGTTTTTGCATCAGCTTTACTCTGATCTAGGTGCCAGGCCTAAATATGCTGTACTGATTAAAGTGTTTGTCCTCCGCTCTCTCTCCCTCGTTCCCATTTGCAGTTATTTGATATTTCTATGCAGGTGGTGGACCATTTGTGTAATAGGTGCAATTCTTAGGAAACTGTAACCAGGGTCTTGAGAGATGATTTTCTGGAGATGGTGATGCCAGAGGATCCAGGCAGGATCGGGTTTCTTCTGAGGGTAGGGATTTGTCCTTGATTTAGTTTTGACCCCTACAACCATAGGTATGTAATCAAATACATTTTTCCTTTTGTATTATCCTTTCCTTGCAGAGCTGATGACCTTTGTGTTTTAGAGAAATGATAGTTTTTAGGAAATAAAAATGTTAACCTCTTAATACCTCTTGGGATTTAAGTAAAATCCCCCCCCCCAAGTTGATTAAAGCATTAAGAGGAAGTAAGTCTCATTTTTCCAGCTACATTTACTATATATTTTTTTTAGTTAAAAACTAAAATTCAGTTTGTAATTTTATTTTTAGCAATTCTGGGTTCAGGGTAAAATTTAATAACTTGGTAGATTGGAGAAAGAATAAACTTGAGTGTAATTAGAGGAGTATATTTAAGCTGCAGTAGCCTACATAATTAAGGCCAAGTTGTGTGTGTATAAAAGAACTCATTTGTGTAGTCTTACAAGGCTAATGGAGGCATCGCTGAGGCTTTATAAATAATGTAAGTTGTGTATAATGTAGAGTCTCCAGAGATGGCAGAGAAAGCATCATTACCAGCCTTTTCAACCTGCTCAAGATCTTAAATTGATTTACAGCACTGAACTGGTGCAAAATGATACATCAGGATGACATGGGGTCAGCCTGTAAAAGTCTATGATGTCAGCCTATTAGTTCAGTCGTCATAATTAAACCATATTACAGGGGCAGCTAAGCAGGAGTCTGGCGTTATACTTCAGATATGGGTGGTTCATGGATTTTGTGCATAGTGGAAAGGCCAAGAATACTAGTGTTTCTGAAAGAGGGAAAGCTTTACAGAACTGTGAATGTCTGAGAGAAACAATTGAAGATAAATTCAGAGATGTTCAGTGTGCATTGTCCAAGTAGCTTCCCACTTGGTGATATAGAAACAAGTGCTTTGGTGCTGGCCCTTTGCAGATCTGGTCTATGTATTGAATCATCCTTCACATGAGCTTGAATTTAACTTGGCCTTAGGGACCTTCTAAAATATCAGAAGGCCATATACTTCTTTATCTCTGATCCTTTTATTAGCACTGAGTTTACACTGTACTGATGCATGAGTTGACATGTTATTTCTTTAACTAGTCAGTTACCCGATTTCCACTAAACACAAGGATACTTGCATTGAACATATAAGCAATTCAGGAAAAGAAGACCCTTAAATTTCTTATGTTCCTTTTTTCATTTATGGATCATCTGTGGCCATGTAGTCCAGTAAAGTAGCCCCATAGCCACATCTGGCTATTTGTTTAAATGAAATAAAATTAAATTAAAAAAAATTTTTTTTTCAGCACTGCCCAAATTTGAAGTGCTCAACAGCCGCATGAAGCTAGTGGCTTCCATATTGGACAGTGTGTATATAGGATAGTTCATCATCTTAGAAAATTCTAGATAGTGCTGTCCCAGGACCTTCCACACTGTTCTCACTTGTCTCCTCTAGTAGTGAATTTGGGAGGTTCAAGAGAGACAGAAATATATACATACATTGGTTAATTTTACAACTAACTGCTCTTGTTAAAATGCAGTTCGGAAGTGACAGTTGAAGCTGTTGATAAAATTAGGTTTACTTTTCTGGAGATCTTATTTGTCATTAATGTCATGGATTCTCACTTGATTTACAGCACGGGGTAAGAAATAGTGTTCCCTTTTTTCCAGAATTTTTACCATGTGCCAGGCATTATTTGTAATACTTATTTAAGCCTCAAAACTTCCCTAAGGACTGTTGTCACATTTTACACGAAAAACTGAGGCCAGAGCGGTTGTCTTCCCTCAGGTTCATAACCAGTGAGTGATTTTGATTTATCATCTTAGCTGGGATACAAACAAGGCAGTCTGACTCCAGAACCTTATTCTTAGCTGTGCTTTTTGGTTTTCATCTAGAGGACCCAAACAGGCATTGTGCAGTAGGTGGTACTTTACTATGCCAGTGTAGACATGACTTGACTTTTAGGTTTTTAGACATATTTGTCCTCTGTTGTTCTTTTTTGGGCCTGTCTTCTATTGTTCCTGTAAATGTTTAAAAGGGAAAAGTAATGGTAATACTTATCTAAGCAACACATAATTTGAAGAATAAGTCTGACATAGAAATAATGCATTTCAAAGCCCAACTAGTTTTATCTCAGCTTTTCTATATAATTCCTGTCACTTTTCTCGTGTTTTATTGTATAATCATAAGATAATGGGTACTGATGAAAGTTCTAGTAGTTCAGTTTATCTCATCAAAATTACTGTGTTTTCCCTGAGTGGTTAAACACGTGTCTTGAGATAAGACTAGTTCATTGCAAATTCCTTGGGGATTTTTTTTTTTTTTTTTTGCGGGGGAGGGGTGGTGGTGGGGTGGGAAGTGTTTGAGTATTCTTTTGTATGTCTTACCTTTCACTTGTTCTCAACTTTTTGAATAGAGTGTTAGGCTGTTTAAGAATCTGATAAAACCTTGGGTCCTGTGTCTTCTCTTCCTTCCTCTCATCCAGAAATGTTTGTGTGTCCTGGTGAGTTTGTGAGTACACTTTCACAGCCCTAGTGCATGATCCTTCTGGTGAAGTTCATCCCTGGACTGCCTTGACAGGTGCTTTCATAAACACTGACTTGTGATTTCCTATTTAGAAATGTTTAATGTTAAAAGCTGCTTTAAAGGTTTTCTAATCCAGATGGTTCATGTGGAGATAAGCAATGTGAGGCTGAGAGAAAACAACCTGCTTGTCTAAAGTTACCCGTAGGGATTGCAAGTAGGAAAGCCAATCCTGGATCCTCCTAGTGTTGTTGAGTATTTATTATTATTATCATTATTATTATTATTATTTACATGACAGCAGAGTATCATTTGAAATATTATACATACATAGAATAAGTGTAACTTGTTCCAATTAGGTCCCATTGTTTGGTTGTACATGATGTTGAGTTTTACATTCAGGGTATATTTATATATGAGGGTAGGGTATTCTTTTGTTTGTTTTTTCCTTCCACGCTCCTGAGGCTTTGGGCTGAGTCTTTCCAGTAGAGTTTGGGTAAGGAAGGGTAGAAGAGTTTTTGGCATGATACTGACATTTTATTCCTAATGTTTGAGGTAAATAGGAATCAAGTCTGACCACCAAAAAGATATGTTTTTCTCCAGGTTGAAATTGATTTTTTTTCTTCCATTCTAGAAATGGAAAAGAAAAACCCTGTATCAAATTTAATCAATGGGACCTTATTGGGAAATGGGAGATCCAAGATTGTACAAAGTTCAGGTTAAAGCAGACAGTTCTGACATAGGAATATACGAAACTCCTATTGTGACTCTCATAATCAGATCACATTTTTCACCAAAGGTTGGGGTCTTTAAAGAAGGGATAGGGGGCACTAGGGAGAGAGATGGAAATGTTGAGAAGTAAAAGGATAATGTAAATGTAAAAAGGTGGTATAAATTGTTATTAAGTCATAAAGCAACTTTGAGATAAGAGGTGCTCTGATACTTCTGTATGTGGCTTTGATTGTTGGTACCAAGATTGCAGGACGTGCGCATTAGGAACAAACAGGGGCATTGCCTTGTGTCTCATATTGAAATCTCTTGACTCTGTATCTTCCTTTTCTGCTGTTATCTGATAGACAAATACTCAGTCTGATATGGTGATCTCTTATTTGATTTGCAGCAAAAATACTCGAAGTATTTTTAACCCTTATAGCAACCTTTAAAAAGAAAAGAAAGAAAGCTAAATAGCATCTACTACTTAAAATCTAAGTTAAGCTATTCATTGATGTATGTAGTAAGATAATGTCAGTTTTATAGCACAGTTAGTTTTATAGGCAAAAAAGTAACATTTATATCTGCTACTGGCTGACTTGCAGAAATGAGCAGGCTCTAGAACATTTGTTTGCTTAAGGGACTTACATCTTTTGGATAGAAAAAGCAAAACTTTCATAAATGGTTCAACTCCAGTGTCTACATCAAGACTTTTTGGAAGGCACTGGAAGTGCAGTATTCGAATAGTTTAGCATCTTTGTCATTAGCTAAAAATAATAGAGAAGACTCTCCTGAAAATAGAGCTTCCTACCCTCTTAAGGACTGAGGAGTCTTTACCTGATGTGATTCTCCCAAATCTCTTCTGCTTGGTTCTTAGTGTTTGGAAAAGAAGCCTTATTCTTTTACAAGAACCCAGGTCTGTGGTGTGGTGGATTGGTTTCTTAACTTTGTTGTTTTTTTTTTTTTTTGAGACAACAAACCTGAATTTAAAGAAAGAACTCATATACGTACAACCATAAATTATGCATATTTGTGTTTTTGAGCTCAAGATGTAAATGAATATTAACTGTCATATTTGAGAAGTGGGTTACAACGATCTGCCTATTGATTTGAAAATATATTTTTATACATACTTTTTTAAAGCTTTATTTGTAGTTTCCTCTAATTTTAGGGCTGCTCTGCTATAGATATTTTTTCCTGCAATCTCAGATTGTTAGGTTATAGTTACTCAGACTGTTCATTCATTTTCCTGTCCTTGTGTGTCTTTTGTGGCTTCTTTGTGGTACGCTTATGCAAAGTGGAAGTATTTCAGACCTTATGTAGCTTTTTACTTTCAATTTCAAACACCACAAGAAAAAAGGGGAAGTAATTATCTGTGAACTATTATAAT